CCCTTCTTAGATGCAACAAAGAGTTTTGATTGTGAATTTAGGATTTTTCTAATTACACTTTGTCTGACTTTTCGAAAGAATACGAGCGCTTTTTAAACTACCAAGTCATATAAAGGAATCTTCCCTGCTAAGGATTAATTCTTGTCCGCTGGCTTGCACAAGTTACTCACCCGATAGTAAGTAAATACATGGAGTTTCTCACTCACACTCACCTTCCTTTTCTTACTTTTCCTCGACTTTTCTTCTCACGCTTATGCGGTAGTAAAGGTCTTTTGTATATATACTTCTCACTCAAACATATTTGTCGAAGTGGCTGACTATTCAACATTTATGTTGTTATCAAAGTTAGACAGCAATCTTCTTCTGAAGTTTAAATTAAGCAATTTTCTCCAAATTGAATGACTTGGTTACTCCTTGAAACCAGTATATTCCTACCTTCAGTTTCCTTCCACTCCTCTTGTATTTTTTGTTTTGAAAAACTCTTTTATCAACTTTTCATACAATTTTAATGAACCTTAGCAAACAATGAAAATTACAGAAATGAATAGAAACAGCTTGAGAACCCATACATAAATTATGCATGGGTCAGTTTTGCACGAGGTACTGATCACGACTCGACTTTTCTTTTCACGTTTATGCGGTAGTAAAGGTCTTTTGTATATATACTTCTCACTAAAACGTATTTATCGAAGTTGCTGACTATTCAAGATTTATGTTGTTATCAAAGTTAGAGAGCAATCTTCTTGAAACCAGTATATTCTTACCTTCAGTTTCCTTCCACTCCTCTCGTATTTTTGTATCGAAAAACTCTTTTATCAACTTTTCATACAATTTTAATGAACTTTGAGACAATGATTAAAAGAAATAAATAGAAACAGCTTAAGAACCCATACATAAATCATGCATCAGTGAACTTTGCACGAAGTACTGATCACGGCTTGGGGTTAGCGTTTCTTTACATTTGAGTAAAGCGTGAGGGCATTTAGCTAGAAACGAACCAAGATTACTCGGATTGTTTTTATTATGTTGTTATCAAAGTTGGAAAGCAATCTTTTTCTTAAGTTAAAATTAGCCATTTTTTTCCAAATTGAATGACTTGGTTCCTCCTTGAAACCAGTATATTCTGACCTTCAGTTTCTTTCCACTCCTCTCGTATTTTTCTATTGAAAAAATCTTTTATCAGCTTTTCATACAATTTTAATGAAACTTGAGACAATAATTAAAAAAAAAATAAAAAGAAACAGCTTGAGAACCCCTTTCGTAAATCAAGCAATAGTCAGCTTTGAACGAAGTACTGATCACGACTAACATTTCTGATTAACATTTCTTTACATTCGAGTAAAGCGTGGGGGCGTTTAACTTTAATAGAAACAACCTCGATCATTCGGATTTTTAGTTTTTTTCCGAACCTCTTTTCTCTTGCACAAGGATTTCTATGAGTATCGATTGGTCGCATTCGGGATCGATGACATCTTTTTCCCACCAAACAAAGCGAAATTCGCCCAATAAAAAAGAGCTACAGGATGTAATTTCAACAGAGAGGGATGAAAACTGACAGAATTTCCTCTCACCTTCTAACTCGTACATTTATGAGTCACAATTTGTAGATATATCTGCTGTGCCATACATGTATTTCTGCGTTCCTTTTTTTGGCTCGTGCACGTTAAAATTGGCAACGGAAGCCAATATGCTAAGAAACATTTGTTTCTTCTGATGCACTAATTATTTTCTCATCCTTTGCCCTCTAGCTACCCTACTAATAGTGTTTACTTTCGCTTCCAGACAATTATAATGTAGACACCTGGCAAAGTTGGTAAAGTAAGTGACTAATGACCGACTCAGGGATACCGTGAGTTTTGTTGCCCTGGCAGGGCAAGGTAGAGGAATCCTCACTGTTTCCTGTGGTGCTCGTCACTTTAATTTTTATTTTTTTAAAGTGTTTCTCATACATCCAACTCGAAAATGACTGCAAAAAATAATTTTTATAGGCAGGCTGGCACACATATTTGCTGCGGTTTCATGGTGAACGACCTTATCATGTGGGAGTCGAAAGTCAAGTCGTTGTTTCCCCGGGGGCCAAGTGAATTTTGTTTATCCTAGAAAGTAAGTGTATTTTGATTCACGACTCGCGACATGTTCAGCCCCCCAATCAAAAGACGTATTTAAGTTGGGCATTGCATCACCTGAGAGTCGAAAGTCAAGTCGTTGTTTCCCCGGGGGCTCAGTGAAGTTTGTTTATCCGCGAAAGTAAGTGTATTTTAATTCACGACTCGCAACATGTTTAGCCCTTCAATCAAAAGACGTATTTAAGTTGGGCATTGCATAAATGTCGCGTTCAGAGCTCTCTTCAAGTCAAGAATTATATTATGCTTTTAGCACCCATAAGCTACTTTTCCTTCAAGTTTCATTCGATCGAAATCCCGATATCAGCAACGTTATGTGCCCCTTGGAAGAAAACGTTTCCGTTGCGGCGGACCGGAGTAGGCTATGTAGGGGCTCTTTTCATACCGCATGCATGTTTACAATTAGGAGGCTAAAATAGTCGTCATTCTATACGAGGGGGTTCTCCTTTCATATCAAAGGTTTCTGTATCAGAAAGTACACTGAACTCACACGAGCGAAAATCTCGCTATGAGGTTGGGACTGGCCATTGGTTGTTTGAAGACCAGTGGCATCTATGTTTTCTCAGTGATGCAATGCCGATGCCTCGATCGCGAACAGATTTACTCGATTGTTCATGACAAAATACTGTAAAACAAGTAGTAACTAGAGGTCATGTTTGTTCTATGAGTTAATTCTCGAGAGAGGATTGTTCGATCATTTTTTCTAGATTTAGATTTAATCCTTACAGGCCTTCGGAAACAAAAGAATTCTAAAACTAATCTGAATCCATCCCCTTACGGAATAAGATTGATAGAAAAATTGATCCGTGAGTTAAATCGTCAAATTCTCACCTGTACTGATCTGTAAATAACGTCTTTCTGATTTACAACTTACGTTAACAATTCAGTTGATAAAACCAAATTATTTTGTCATACTTCCCCACCGACACAGCACCACTGTTTCTCTAAAAACTTACCCCCTTTATACTTCAGACAAAGTTCCGAGTGCTCTCAAAAACTTGAACGATTTGACTTTGAAATGGATGACATAACAAATTGTAAGATTTAAAAAAACATCTTGGCCTTATATTTATTTATATTCACGCGGAAATCATTATATTTACATATTCCGTGACCAAACAAAAGGGAAAGTCTATCTCTTCGAACCTTAATTGTTCTTTGAAATACATAAAGCAACATAAACTACTACATAGAAAACCGTGTTTATCTCATCGACTCCTTTAGGATCCGGTGTATGTAAAACTAGAACTACGTGATAAAAACAGTGGAGCACTGTCGGTAAGCCTACCACAAGGAAGAAGCGAGCGTCAGAGATGTGACCTAATTAGCTATTTGTGCGCTAAAACGGCTTTACAATCCACAGCTGAGGGTAACGGTGCATTTCTTGTGTTCGTCTCTGTTTTCAGTCTATTCGTTTAAAGAAGTTATTTTCACAGTCAAGGGTTGCTTGGTGTATAGACAGCTCTGAGTTAAATGCAACTAACGAACAAATACTCTCCAGAAATCGCCGATTGAGTTAACACTCTGAGAGGCGACATCATCGCATTCTAAGTCGTTGTCGCTATTCAAGTAGACCCTAAGGTGATACTTAAATTGTCAGAAGGCAGGGAAGCTGTATAACCTCTTTTGATCTCCACCATGTCCCCACTTTCCAACATAGTACTTTCCATTTGCTAGTCCCCTATCTTTGCAAATGCTAGCTAACTTCACCTGAGCTGTTGAAAGCTGTGACCACGTGGAATGTGCGTCCCTGTTTTTTACGGCAGTGGAATCTCAGCTGAGTGAAGGACAAGTGTCTTCTGAGCTCTTTCATGGCACTTTTCTGCAGAACCATATGTGACTTACCTATTCCACGGTATGATGTCTCAACTGACACCTTCGGTGAGGGACTTCCGCACTCAACATTTGACACCAGGAGCTAACCTCCTAAAGTAAAACAAACCTTAATGATCTGGTGACATCCATGTAAATAGAATTTTGGACATATTAATAATGGTAACAGGACCGAGTGGAGTCCAATTCGGTCTGAAATCATACGAGTGATTAACAAAATCGTACGATCCCAAAGTGGGAGTCCGATTTGTTAATCACGAGTATTATTAGAGACAGAATTGGACGATAAGAAGTCCTGTTACCAATCAATCAAAACTGTGTTAAAATTTGAGAAAGAAACTAGACATCAGTTTTCATAAAACTAGACATACGTTTTCATAAAAACAAAAAAACATAAGTTAACTCGGCGAAATGCGAGACAACAGTGCACACATGACGCTATCTGTCTACTCAGGCAGGCATGACGCGTTAACTGTCCCTTTACGGTTCTATTACGCTGTCCGATTACAAGTATGACGTGTACACTGTCCTATTAGTGCTCAAATCGGCTGGCTGATGATAACCAATCACGTTTGTGACTTTTGTTATAGTTTTGATTAAAAACATAATACTATTAGCCAAGACCAGAACGTTCCAATAACAACTGCTCCAAGTCAAATACGCTCTGGTTAAAGTTCTCGTTTCAAAAAAAAAAATTCATTTTCTTACCACCCTATCTTTACAGGTCACAATAGACCCTCAAAGGGTTTCCACTCTTCTCAAGGTCGTTCCAATACTCCCCGTCTCCTTTGGAGTGTCCAGAGTCCAGAATTTTCTTACAGGAGAAGGCCGGATGAGCAGGATCCAAACCTCGTTTATCTGCATCGGAAAAGAGAAGAATAATCATTTGGAACGAGGAGAGGATCAAACTAAGAAACAAAACACGCCACAGAGGTCTTATTCCATAAGTAGTTCCTTTCGCGTAATTATTAGATAGCTCCTAATTTTGGAAATCTTTGTAGGATTCATAGCATCCTTTAATTCAAACTAAGAAAATGGAAAACTTATCATTATAAGGAAAGGGAAGATATTTTAATCTTCATTTTCTCTCGGGAAAGGTTATACATGGATCTACACGTGACTTGAGAGAGTTCTGAAAAGCGCTGACCAGAAGTAAGAAATAGTTCACCATTTTTTCGCTTAGAAAGAGGGGGTAGGAGGTACTTCGAAGGGGGGGATCTCATGGTTTTCAAGGCAACAGAGAGGAGATCAGTTGTCGCTAACAGAGTTTAAAGGTGGGAGTAAAGAAAATTGACTGCCAGTGAGGAAGATTAGTAGAATAATTCAAAACGTTATGGAGGGATCAAGTAAATGTTATTGTGACAACCAAAATACTCCACCTCCCCTACCCCCACCTCCACTAACTTTTCCATAATGTTAAGCACCTTACTCAACAGTACCTCTTCCATAATAAGTAGAACGTGGGTTACGCCTCAAGTTTTCTGGACTTGATTTTTTGGTTTGGTTCCTCAGTTGACATTCCTTCTTTGTATCATTAGCATCGGATTGGCTGTTGTAAGATTTTCATTTCTCATTTTGATGGCATCTCAATCCACAGCTTATTTCGTCAGCGCATAATGCCTCGGTGATATGACTAGTTACCTCAAATCCTAAAATAACAACACAGTTGTGTTTCATTTTATCATCATGCAGTTTACTTTGGATACTGTGGCCAACACAGTATAAGGGGGGAGATATAGAAAATTGATTGCCAATGAGGAGGATCGTAAGATTGTTACAGAGCCCTATGGGGGGGGGGAGGGGGATCATGTAAAGTTTATCATGACACAGCCAAAATCTATGTCATCCGATCCGAGTTTTCGCCCATGGCACTTGAATTATTTACATCCCGTCGGCAAAAAGAAAATCACCATGTAGGGAGATATAAAACATTCACGTGTTTTCTTTATCTCTCTCGAACACCTCGTCCCTGCTCAAGTCAGTGTGCAAAGACGAACTGAAAGCCACAAAAAACAAAGCAACATCACTCAACAGAACGGGACAGTAATGGAAACCAACTAGAAGCCCTCTCATCCTGTAATTTGAGAAAGAAAGAAAAGCAGATGACGGATTTCGTCCTTTTGCCTTAAGCTTCTTAGACGCAGCAAATAGTTTTATGAGTTAAGGGTTCTGTCCATTACACTTTGTCTGAGTCGGCGAAAGAATGCGAGGGCTTTTTAAACAACCAAGTCATATAAAGGAATCATCCCTGCGAAGAATGAAAACTTGTCCGCTGGCTTACACAAGTTACTCACCTGATAGTAAGTAAATACATCGAGTTTCTCAATCAAACTTACCTTCTGTTGCTTACTTTTCCTCGAGTTTTCTTCTATCAACGTATTTATTGAAGCGGCTGACTATTCATTATTTATGTTGTTGTCAAAGTTAGAGAGAAATCGTCTTGAAACCAGTATATTCTTACCTTCAGTTTCCTTCCACTCCTCTCGTATTTTTGTATCGAAAAACTCTTTTATCAACTTTTTATACAATTTCAATGAAACTTGAGACAATGATTAAAAGAAAAAAATAGAAACAGCTTAAGAACCCATAGATAAATTATGCATCAGTCAACTTTGCACGAAGTACTGATCACGACTTGGGGTTAGCGTTTCTTTACATTCGAGTAAAGCGTGGGGGAGTTTAACTAGAAACAAACCTAGATTACTCGGATTGTTTTTATTATCCGGATTTCTTTTCTTCTGTACCCAGTTTTTTATGAGTATCAATCAGTAGCATTCAGGATACATAGTAACTTTTTCCCAGCAAACAAAGCTAAATTCGCCCAGTGAAAACTGAAAGAACTACAAGATGAAATTTCAAGGTTAAAAGTTTTCTTCAATGATGAAACTGACAGGATTCCTTCTCACGTTCCAACTCGTACATTTATGACTCACAGTGTGTTGGTATATCTGTTGTACCTTACATGTTTTTGTGTGTTCCTGACTCCGGTGAATGCGTTGTTGTACACTTGGAAAATGCCAATGAATAAAAGGAAAACAAGCTGTTTGCAGTGCGTTAACCGAGCGATTAATGCCGGAAAATGATTTGTTTACCTGCATTTACCGCGAAGGAAAACTATCGTATAATGGAACGAATACTGGGATTCACCGATGCGAAAACGCACAGAAAACGTTGCATTTTCCGTACGGCAAAACATGAGTAAACGTTTGAAAAATGCCGCGTTTTCCGTGAATTCAATCTAAGTCTTCCGTACGGTGAACGCTAGTTTTTTTGCCGTGATATTTTTACAGCTGTCTTGATAGCTTCATCTACGAGCTTTTCTGCGGGGAAGACTTACTAACCAGGCTTAAGAAAAAATGAAAATTTTTAAGTCTGTAATTTGAATTTAGATCTAAGTGAAGAAAAATCTCGAGAATGAGTGCGCAATGTCCCACCTGACAAAGCCGACGCCAATAATTCTCAGAAGTTTATGCAGTTTTATCACAGGAGTGCATGCCCAAGTTCATACTTTTATTAACCCTTAAACCTAACTGACAACGCGGCCTTAACTGCGACTTTTTGAAAAAGTATACAGAGCAAATGTACTTGAATCAAAACGAAGAGAAAGGTTGGCGCGAATAACTTTTGCCGAGAGCTATTAGTAAGAGAGGAGAGTACTGAAGAAATACAAGTTTACATAAACTCTGAAAAACGTCTTCGGAGGAGTGCGGACATCTTCGGAAGTGACCGGTTTAGTTCGTTCGCGGAAATGCTAACAAACATAGGGAAAAAATCTTTGCTTTGACTCGAATTTTCCAGGTTTATACAAGTGTTTAGCAGAGCACTGACTTAGCATAAAACAGTGTGTCTCCGTTGCAGTCCTTGATGATGTGGAAGTACTGTACATATTTCTCAATAATTTGTGTGAGAATTTCCTTGTGCCACCGGGAAGACTTACGATGTTAAGTACCTTCCTCCTTGACACTTTAACCCCCAAGATCTGATTGTTAATTCTCCCCTCTAGCTGTTACACATTTCCTTTTTAATTAGTTACGAGAATTTGACTTTAGATCAATAACAACTTTGAACTGATAAGTTTAAATATTCTCATTACCCGTTTGCTGGATGATATATGTTTATTACAAGGAGAAGTTGCATGTTGATCGATTTTGTAAGGTAAAGAGGTAATGATGAACAACTGGTCAAAAATAGGAGCTAAGTGGAAAGGAACATGGACCTGATTTCTGTGCATCTTCTTCTGAAATAGGATCTCCTGTTAATTATAGCCGCAAACGCTAATCACACGTATTTCAAACTTTACTAGAACAAACTTGACACATTGTTGAATACGGTAACTGAAAATGACAAAATTACAATCACGCGAATGAGCATAAAATAACTTACATCGTATGAGTGAAAGTACTGGAAAACGACAAAGCGAAATAAACAAGGATACTTACAAGACGAATGTGACCAAACCAAAGACGAAAACATGAAACTCAGAGCTAGATATGTAACGGTAATTTTCACAAACTAGACAACTAACCAAATAAATTACGCGCAACCAATATATATACGATATGCAAATAAATATGACAAGTACAAAACTGGTAACTGACAAAGGACACTAATGGAAGACGAGAAAATAAACACCTAACACGAAACTATGAAACACCAACACTAACAAAAAATGATAGTACAAATTCTTGCGCCTACATTCCGGCCCCTTAAATACGAAGATCTAAATCCAAGTATTTATCAGCAAAACACTAAAAGGCGCAAACTTTACAGAGCTAATTGAACTTAGACGATTTTTACTTAATGTTCAGACGCCTAACAGAGTCAACAAAGTACTATAAAGTATCAATTTAAATCTTTCTCCTCAAAGAAAAGTCACGCAATCTTGGTAATCATACGATTAAGGAAAGTCAATGAATTTTTCCTTCCACTTGTTCAATTGATTCCAGAAGACATAGTTTACTGATAGGGCGCTCCAAAGTTGATGTCTTGGTTTTAACCTTGACACGGCGGACAAATCCATATTTGTCAGGAAAAACCTCTGTAATCCGACCAATTGCCCACGCATTCCTTGGCAAAGTTTCGTCAACCACGATAACAGTGTCCCCCACGGCAAAGTTTTTCTTTGGTCGAAACCATTTCTGACGTGATTGCAACAGAGGAAGATATTCTCTCTTCCAGCGACCCCAGAAAACATCAGCCAAATATTGTACTTGCCGCCATCTTCTCCTGGAGTATGTGTCGCTCTTTAAGAACAAGCCTGGAGGAAGAGGTGTCTCGCTGCGAAGCAGGAGAAGGTGGTTCGGTGATAGTGGTTCCAAATCCTTTGGATCGTCAGAAACTGTGGTCAGAGGTCTTCCATTGATAATGCTCTCACATTCACACAACAAGGTCTGAAGACTCTCATCATCGAGACTTTGTTCTTTAACCAGGGCACCCAGAACCTTGCGTGTAGATCTAATTAGCCTCTCCCAGACACCACCATGATGTGAGGCTCCGGGTGGGTTAAAAACCCATTTGATGCTTTTCTGCAGAAGGGCGTCATGAATTTTAGCTTGATTCCAGCTGTCAATCATGACACGAAGCTCCCTTTCACCTCCTACGAAATTTGAACCATTGTCGGAGCGAATTTCTTTAACTTGACCTCTACGAGCGATAAAACGTCTGAGTGCGTGAATAAAAGAGTCAGTGTCCAGTGAGTGACACACCTTCAGATGAACAGCTCGCAGTGCCAAACAAGTGAAGATTGCACCATAACGTTTGACCATGCTCCTCTTTTGACGAACAAGAAAAGGACCAAAATAATCTATCCCCACGCACGTGAAGGGGGGTTGATCTGGTGTAACTCGAGGCCGAGGCAGATTTGCCATCTTTTGTTCTCCAACGGGACCTTGTCGTCGTTTGCAATCAAAGCAGGATGAAAGCACACTTCTAACAGTAGAGTTGGCACGAATCAACCAGAAACGTTCGCGCAACAGAGCCAGGACATATTCTCTACCAGAATGGCCGCTTTTCTGGTGAAAGTGGTTCACAAGCAGACGAGCTAGATGAGAATCTTTAGGAATGATAATCTGATGCTTAGAGTCGTCTGATAGGGTAGCCCTGCTAAGGCGCCCGCCAACACGAAGAAGACCATCGGTCAAGATCGGATCTAATCTAGCAAGTGCACTTGACCCCTTGACGCATTTACTTCCCTTAACGGCTTCTAATTCTTCTGCAAAGGTGAGATTCTGCTCGAACTTGATAATCTCTTTTCCGGCTTCTTCCAGCTCTGCTTTTGTCACCAATTTCGCTCCAGATGCGTCAGCAGTATCCAAACAATTCTCCTTTGACACTTTTCTCCTCATCACAAATCTTCTCTGGCAGCGAAGACACAGCGCGATAAACTTCAACAATTTGAACCATGAAGAAAACCGTTGGATGATAGAAACGATACTCGAATCTTTACTCGCGTGAACAACAAAAGATTTCGTCAGACCATTTAGCCACACACGCCAACGAGATAGATAGTCGCTGGGAATCTCATCATCCCAACCCAAACTCTTTCTACACAGATCCTGAAGGAGCAGTTTTGCCGGAAGGATGAAAGGCGCTGCCATACCGAGAGGAACGTAAACTGAACTCACCACGGAAAGGATACCACGCCTGGTACAAGGTTTCTCCTTAATGTTCACTTTGAAACCAAATGAATCTATCTCGACAAACCAGGATACACCTAGGGCTCTCTCTGCAGGAAGCGCGTCGTTATCAAGATCCAGATCTTTAACATCCTTTGCTCTAGCTTCTACAGGAATGGATTCCAAGACTTCGCGGTCATTGCTGATCCATTTAGTCAAATTGAAACCTCCCCTCAGCATTAGCCGAAGAAGTTCTTTCACATGCTTTATTGCAACAGCCGCTGAAGGTAAGGACTTCAGGCAGTCGTCAACGTAGAAATTCTTCAAGACAGTACTAACCACGTCAGGGGAAAACTCGTGCCTATGATCTTCGGCATTCCGTCGCATGGCAAAGTTAGCACAACTGGGAGACGAAACCGCACCGAACAGATGTACGGTCATCCGATACTCTTCTAATTCCTTGGAGAAGTCACCACGGGGCCACCAAAGGAACCGTAGGAGGTCTCTATCTACTTCTGGGACACGCACCTGATGGAACATAGATTGAACGTCACCCATGACTGCGACTGGCTCCTGACGGAAACGGATCAGCACGCCAACCAGATTATTGGTTAAGTCAGGACCTTGAAACAGCTCATCATTCAGGGAAGTTCCTTGAGAATGGGCTGAGCAATCGAAAACGACACGTATTTTATCCGGTTTCTTATGATGATAAACGCCGTGGTGCGGGATAAACCACACCTTACCATCTGATCTCTCCAGGACATCCAGGGGAACCTTTTCTGCAAAACCGTCACCGATCACCTTCTCAAGACAAGCAACATAGTCCTCGCGAAACTTCATATCTTTAGAGAATTTACGTTTAAGATAGAGGGCACGGCGTTCTGCTTGACTCCGGTTTGCTGGCATCTGCAAGTTGAGGTCCCTTAACGGTAGAGAAACCTGATAATGACCATCTTCACACTGCATAACTGAATCCTCTACAATGTTCATGAACTTTAAGTCATCCCTTGACATGCTTAAACCATCGGAAAGAGTGGCATCTGCAAAATCAGCACATGCTATACACATAGGATGAGTCTCCTTACAGTTAACGAAGAAACTAGAAGATGGGACAAACTTTTGCTTTCTTCCAGTTGGGCCATTGATAACCCAGCCAAGATCAACTCTAGTTGCATATGGACCCCATCAGAGGCAGGGACAACTTCTCTCGGTTGTAGGGCTTCAGGTACGTTTGCACCAATCAATAGATCCACCTCGGAATCCAATTCTGCTAGGTATACATAGCCTTGAAGGTGCGGCCATCGCTCCACATCCTCCTGTTTCGGGATCTCGTCTTTCACTACAGGCATAGAAGGTCGGGAAAGAACTTCTGGCAAGGAAATGACAACGTTCTCGTCTAGATCAGCCACTTCCAGGTTCGTAACAACGAGACTGTCCACATCGTTGCAGCTATCCATGGTGGTTAGCTTGAGTCTCATTTCCTTGCCGCTGACTCTGAGACGTTTCAACAGGCTAACCGAGCAAAAGGTGGAATTAGATCCATTATCCAGCAACGCATAAGTCTCCACGGACCGAGGACTTCCTTTGACTTTGACCTTCACAGCAACAATGGGCAATGCAGTCACGGAACCCTCCATTGTGGTTAGGCCACAAAAGTGATCAGCTCTGTTCTTCTCAGTACTGGACTGGTTGTTCTCGCTCTGAGGTCCATCCTTACCACGGTCGGACGCAACAATAGCTTCTGGTGCACCTACATGCATTACAGTAGCGTGTCTCTTATTACAGTGAATACAGGGCTTCCTTTTGTGACAACTTCTAGACTGATGGCCTCCACCTAAGCACGAAAAGCATAGCCTCTGCTTCATGACAAACTCCTGACGATCTGTAGGAGGTACTGTGGCGAAACTGGAACATTCGGTGAGATTGTGATCTGCATTACAAAACAGACAGTTCTTCTTAGAAGAATGAACTGCACTCAACACATCAGCAGATGAATTGAGAGCAGATTTCGTCTCGGAAATCGTGACGAGGCTTAGCTGTTTTCCATCGGGTCTCTCAGACTTCGATCTCGAACCCCTATCCTTGCTGTTCTTCTTCTCCTTTTCCAAACAAGGAAGCTTGCCAAAAACTGGATTGGACAAGGTGCGAGCTTTCTGTTCAACGAAGAGTGAAATATCATCAATGCAGACATCTCTCGCTTCCGAGTTGAGGATCCGATCAGCGTTGTCCCGCCAACTGGCTTGCAACTTCGGGGGAAGCCTCTCAATAATCTTCTGCATGCTATCCGGACTTTCGAACTTGCTGGAATGGCCGATAGCCTTAAGAGTGTTTGTACAGCTAGAGAGCAAAACGGCAAAGCCTTCTAGGGCGTCTGCATCTTCAGCTTTGATGACTGGACCATTAGTGACTTTATCCATATATGCCATAGCGATTTTGTGCTTCTGTCCAAATTTGCTCTCTAAGAGTTTCTTTGCCTTTACGTACCCATCTTCGGCTTTCATGTAGAGGCAACTTTGTACCAACTCTTGAGCTCTGCCAGCTGTGTGCTGTTCGAGGTAATAGAGTCTCCCAGCGTAATCTAGTTCTCTGGTTTCGATTACGGTCTCGAACGCGCGAATGAAAGCACAGTAATGTAAAGGGTCTCCACTGAACACAGGTACACGTCTCCTGGGCAACAAGTTCCTTTGCTGCTGTTTCACGAACTCTTCCATTACTCGGTTCTGCTGGACGAGAATGCCATAGGCCTGGTCGCTCAGACCTGAGTTGCCAGAGCTTGAACTTGAATCACTCACAGCACCCTTATGATCTTTAACCGGGTTACTTGACTTCACAGACAATTTCTCTTTCTTATCGGCAGGTACAAATGACTCACGTTTTGAACCACCAGTCCTTGACTTTTCAGTGATGGAGGATACGACTGAAACGGGACAACGAGGATTCCTAGAGGCCACGTTGCTAGGCGCGAAATTACCCGCTTCAGCTTGAGCGTAAGCTTCTTCTCTAGCCACCGCTTTAGCGTACTCAGTTTTGAGGTTTAATTCATCTTTCTTCAACTGCAGGTCGTACTCTTGCCTCTTGAGGCGTAGCTCCGATTCCTGAAGCGAATGGCGGTGTTTCAAAGCGTGTGCTCCGCTCGAAGTTCCGCGATGCGAGCTGCCTCTTTGGCTCTTGCAGCAGATATGGAGCTCGTTTTAGAAAAGTGACTCGTTCTCGATCCACACATGGATGGTCTAGACTTGCTACGAACCTCGGACCCAATTTGAGAAGCGCTGTCGTCAGGCGTTATCAGGTTATCTTGAAGCCTAGCTTCCGTGACACGTAACCAATCATTGACCGTACGGCAGAAAAAATCTAAACTGCTTTCAATGTCGGCGAAATAGAGGTCTGATTCTTGTCTCTGACTTTCCTCAACCAGAGCTACATTATACGCGTCATGAGCCTCGGTAAATCTTCGAAATAGCGACGTGATTTCCGACAGCTTTACTTTCACCGTCTCCAAATTATTTACATCCGTTAAAAGACTATCGATCTCTCGACGCTTGACGTTAACGAAGACAACACTCCTCCTCTCCGCTTTCTGAGTTCACGAATGCGTTCAAGAGAGATTCCTTCGTGATCCAAAGAGGTATTCGGTTTACGAGCACGTGGACCGTTTTCGGCAGGTTGGCCGTTCTTCCCGGCCGAATAAGACAGGTAGACATCAGAACCGTTGCGAGACATCGACATAAACTTCCAATAAACCAGATTCGTCTTTTACAAAATATAGCCGCAAACGCTAATCACTCGTATTTCAAACTTTACTAGAACAAACTTGACACATTGTTGAATACGGTAACTGAAAATGACAAAATTACAATCACGCGAATGAGCATAAAATAACTTACATCGTATGAGTGAAAGTACTGGAAAACGACAAAGCGAAATAAACAAGGATACTTACAAGACGAATGTGACCAAACCAAAGACGAAAACATGAAACTCAGAGCTAGATATGTAACGGTAATTTTCACAAACTAGACAACTAACCAAATAAATTACGCGCAACCAATATATATACGATATGCAAATAAATATAACAAGTACAAAACTGGTAACTGACAAAGGACACTAATGGAAGACGAGAAAATAAACACCTAACACGAAACTATGAAACACCAACACTAACAAAAAATGATAGTACAAGTTCTTGCGCCTACATTAGTACCATTTCCATAGCCAGAGACTTCCCAACAGCTCTTGGAAGTCGCTGTGTACCACCAGCACCTAAAAAAATGAAAGCAATCTTCGAGTTAGTTGCAGCTTTAAGCATAAAATTAAGCTTGACACAGTTAACCTTTTAACTCCCAGATCAAATTTGTAATTCTACTTATTGTCAACCACACAATTCTTATAATTTTAGTTTAAAGAATTTAATATTGGATCAACTAATTATCCCCAAATTGAAATTTGTCTTTATTCTCACCCCTTATCTGGTTAATATTGTATTGATAGTGTAAAGAGAAATTCTGTCTTGGTCACTCATGGGAGTTAAAGGGTTAAAGAACATAAAAGCAGCAATATAAGAGAGTCTAGAATAAAAAAATATCCATTTCATAAAACTGAAAGCCATCTTACTCCTATGATCTTTCCTGATTACAAGTCTTTACTTCACTAAATCATATCACTGTTTCTTTAGGTTAAAGCAAATTTTCACTCTTTGACCCCAAAGAGTGATTAGCATCTAGTTTCTCCTTACAATATCAGCCCTGAATCACACATTAAAGTCATGAGAACAAAGGAAATGATCATCAATCAAACAAGCTCTTGATTGTTAAACAAATTCTCCTTGTCAGCACATTAGGAAATGTATGGAGAAAAGTATGGAGAACTTGCAGACTGATGTTTGGGTGTAAGGGGCTTATGACTAATACTCTTAAGAAGTATAGAAAAATCTTGGAAAGGAGAAGACATAATTTTCATTTTCTTCATCTGCTATCCTGTAGCTTATTTCTGCTCTTTGATATTTTAATCAAGGTCAGTGGAATATATTATATTTTCTTATTGTGTAAATTGATAAAGTTGTTTCTGTGGGTAATTTATGTGTGCCATACCTGGAATTGTTCCAAGCAAAATCTCTGGTTGACCAAACTTAGCTTTGTTTCCAGCATAAATGATATCACACATGATGGCTAACTCACATCCTCCTTCAAGCTATGAAGAAAGTATTGTACAACATACATGGTGAGGCGTGAGTGGTCCAGTGGTCTGAGCGCTGGACTCTGGGTCGGACGGCCCGGGTTCGAGTCCTGGCCGGGGCACTACGTTGTGGCCTTAAGCAAGCCGCTTCACTCACCTTGCTTCGTCTTCTCGGATAAGACGTTAAGCCGGAGGTCCCGTCTCCTGCAGGGTTTGGGGTAGGAGACGTTAATTTCCCACGCACGAGATTACTGTGTGATGGATGTCCTCCCCTGGGTTGGGTTGGGTGGATTTAAGAGGGGTAGTGCCCCGTATGGGACTCCATGTCCCGCTGCACTAACCCAATTGGCGTCCGTCTATTCGTAGACGTACCCAATAAAGTTGTTATAAATTATAAATAAATACTTCAATCGAGCAACAATGGAAAAAGACAAACTTTGTTTGCCACCCATAATAACACAATGACAGCTACAAGAAAATCTCTTGATTATTGGACAATCTGGGCACTGAGCTGGTGATTTGCACCAATAACTTAGACTACTGGCATCTTATTCATAATAATATTTTGGACATATTAATAATGGTAACAGGACCGAGTGGAGTCTAATTTAGACTGTAACCATACGAGTGATTAACAAAATCGTAGGACCGCAAAGCGGGAGTCCGATTTGTTAATCACGAGTATGATTTCAGACAGAATTGGACAACAAGAAGGCCTGTTACCAATTAATCAAAACTATGACAAAATTTGGGAAGAAACTAGACATTGGTTATAAGTTTTCAGAAAAACCAAAAACAACAGTTTACTCGGCGAAATGCGAGACAACAGCGCGCGCACATGACGCGTTCTGTCCCCTCATACAGGCATGACGTGTTAACTGTCCCTTTAACTGACCTATTACACTGTCCAATTTCAAGTATGACGCGTATACTGTCTTGTTGTGCTCAAATCGGCCGGCTGGTGATAACCAATCGCGTTGGAGAATTTTGTTACAGTTTCGATTAAAAAACATAACAAGGATCTTTGTAGAGAAAGCACGAATAGCCAAGACCAGAATGTTCCAATAGAAAGTGCTCCAAGTCAAACATACTCCGGTTTAAGTCCTGGTGTCTCTGAAAAAAGACTTATTCACTTACCACCATATCTTGACAAGTCACAATAGACCCTAAAAGGGTTTCCACTCTTCTCGGGGTCGATCTAATACTCCCCGTCTCCTTTGGAGTGTCCAGAGTCCAGAATTTCCTTACAGGAGAAGGCTGGATGAGCAGAATCCCAGCCTCGTTTTTCTACATCGAAAGAGGGAAGAATAATCATTTGCAACAAGGAGAGGATCAAACTTAGAAACAAAACAGCCCACCTAGGTCTTATTCCAAATGTAGTTCCTTTCGCGTGATCATTAGATAGCTTTTGATTTTGGAAATATTTGTAGGATCCATAGCATCCTTCAAGGAAAAGGCAAGAGATCATAAACTTTATATTCTCTGAAAAGCGCTGAGGAGAAGTATGGAATAGGTCACCATTTTTCGCTTAGAAAAAGGGGGTGGGAGGGGTAGGACGGTCTTACCGGGGGTGGGGGGTATCCTGGTTTTCAAAGGGAACGAGAAGGGGATCAGTCGCCGCTGACAGACCTTAAAGGTTGGACCTAAATTGAAAATTGATTTGAAAATTGACTGACTCGATTTATTGTGACAACCAAAATGCTGTGACCTTTCCTTCCCCCTCTTCTCCCCTTCTACCCAGGCGATAAAAATATGACTTGTTCCTAAGGTCAAGTACCTTACTCAACAGTACCTCTTCCATAATAAGTAGAACGTTATTATTATTATTACGCCTCAAGTTTTCCGGACTTGATTTTTTAGTTAAGTTACTCAGTTGACATTCCTTCTTTGCATCACTGACATCGGATTTGCTGTTGTAAGATTGGCATTTTTCATCTTGTAGGCATCTCAATCCACAGGTCATTTCGTCAGCGTATAATGTCTTGGTGATATGACCAATTAGCTCAAATCCTAGAAAAACAACACAATCGTGTTTCATTTTATTATCATACAGTTTACTTTGGATACTTTCATAATACAGTATGTGTGTAGTTGTTCACCCTGTCTTAAGAAGTCATCTTGATTCTTGATATCGTGCACAGGTAGATATGAAGAAGCCCTAAGAGTTATGAGAGTTGTGCGTAGACAGTTCCCGTTGTTTTTACCCGATTTTGGGGCAATCCCATCTTTTTTTTAGGAGGATTTGTTGTGGAAAACAGAGTATAAAGAGAGACCGGAAGTGTAGAAAATTGACTGCCAAAGAGGGGGATCGTAAGATTGTTACAGAGCCTTATGGGGGGAGGGATCATGTAAAGTTTATCGTTATCAGTAAGTTATATTATATTGATTTGGCGAGTTTTCGCCCATGGCAATTGACGCGTTCATATCCCGTCGGAAAAAAAATATCACGGTGTTATAACAGAGGCATAACACATTCACGTGTTACCTTCAACTCTCTCGAAAACCTCGTCCCTGCTCAAGTCAGCGCGGGCCGACGAACTGAAAGCCACAAGAAATGCAGCAACACCACTCAACAGAATGGGACAGAAATGGAAACCAACTAGAAGCCCTCTCATCCTGTAATTTGAAAAGAAAGAAAAACAGATGACAAATGTCGCGCTTTCCCTTTTTTGATGCAACAAATAGTTTTGACTGCGAATTTAGGGTTTTAATTACACTTTGTCTGACTCGGCGAAAGAATACGGAGGGCTTTTTAAACTACCAGCTCATATAAAGGAACCTTCCCTGCTAAGGATTAAAACTTGTCCGCTGGCTTGCACAAGTTACTCAACTCAGTGTCGAAATGATAAACGGTTCAGCTAGCTGTACTTTGGTTCAGTGACTTGACACAACCGAGAGTAGTGTAAAATAGCTAAAGCAATCGGCAAATGGTTGATAGTAGGCCGTAATGGCTTAGTAACGCATCAACCTACTCAAAGGAAAGTGAAATGGTTTAGCGTGACGACAAAAGGTTTAGTACAAACCGAAACCGAAATGGTTTAGTGTTACAGCAGTTGGTTTACGCCGTAACCGCCAAAAATACAAAAGTGAAATGGATAAGTCAAGCTTGAAATGGAACAGTCTTAGTGGGGTCTTACGTCACAATCCTATAGTTTTTATAGTTTTTAAGCGCCCTCTAGTTGCAGTTTGGCCGGCTTAAAGCAATGAATCACTTAATCACGTTTCCTAGCGATAGTTCTGAATGTCTAGACTGTAAGTGTGCTGTCGCGTAAAATGATGCATTTAATCTGAATTTTTGTCATTCCTTTTATTTCAGATTCTTATTTTATCTTGAGGTAGTCAAATGGCGAATTCTTCCCATGGTTAGGCGTAAAGCCGGTAAGGATTAAATTAAAAGCAAGAAAAATGAGCGGACATTCCTCTCTCGACAATTAGTTAAATACAACAAACATGTGTCATGTCTAAAAAGTGGAAAAAAACCCTTCCCCAGTCCCTGAGGGGTTGAAGGTCAAAATCTGTATGATTACTTTTTTATTGTCCGGGAGATTTCCCAGCTACCCTCGACCTCTTGTGCTAAGCATGGTTTTTCTCAAAGGCTTCCCACCATATCAAACAGGTCGTTGAAATTTTCTTGTGTCAGTAGTGATTTTTTTTCGAACCGCAAAGTATTCTTTCCCCTTCCTCTGGAATTTTTAGTATTCACGCGCGACGCTCGCGATCCGATCAACTAGCCAATCATGTTTAGAGTCCTTCAACTTAACGTTGAGGTTGACATGGTCACTAGTTAAGCCTTTTATTTAAGCAGTTGTGAAAATTTAATCGTTATGTATCTCTCAACTCAAATAGGTTTTTTGATTGGACGGTTGAATATGTCACGCGCCGTGAATCAAAATACACTAACTTTCTAGGGTGAACAAAATTCTCTAAGCCCCCGAGGAGACAACAACTTTAACTTTCGACTCTCGCGCGATAAGGTTGTTCACCGTGAAACCGCAGCGAATGTGTGTGCCAGCCTACGAACAAAAAGTGATTTATGGCAGTCATATTCGGTTTGGGATGTATCAGAAAATATTTTCAAAAATAAAAATTAAAATGACTGGCCCCACGGGAAACAATGAGGATTGCTTTCCCTTGCCCCGAAATGGAAAGAAAAAAAATACTTATAAACTGATGATTGTAACGATGCATTTGTCTTTATTTTGCTTTATTTGTTTGTTACTGTTATTGGCACAGTCAAGGGTTGCTTGGTGTACATATAGACGCAACTAACGAACAAAGACTCTCCAGAAATCGCCGTTTGTGTCAACATGGTGACCGGAGCGATCATCACATTCCATTTTTTTGAGGTCGTCAACGTTATCCAGTTGGACCTTAAGGTGATACTTTGAATTTCTTTCGACGGGAAACCAGTACAGCCTTTCTTCATCCTCACCAATTCCCCACTTTCCACTTACTGATTGACCCCAATCTTTGCAAATGCCAGCTAACTTGGAATTGTCATCCCGCGCCAATCTCACAAACGAACCACAGGCGTCCGGTTGCTCATCTGTCTGACCGCTGAAGTACTGGACCACAGCTTCGCCTGAGCTGTTGGAAACTGTGACCACGTGGAATGTGCGTCCCTGTTTCTTGCGGCAGTGGAATCTCAGCTGAGTGAAGGACAAGTGTCTTCTGAGCTCTTTCATGGCACTTTTCTGCAGAACCATGTGTGACTTACCTATTCCACGGTATGATGTCTCAACTGACACCTTAGGAGAGGGACTTCCGAACTCAGCATTTGACACCAAAAGCCAACCTCCTAAAATAAAACAAACCTTAATGATCTGGTGACATCCATGTAACTAGAATTTTGGACATATTAAATAGTAACAGGACCGAGTGGAGTCCAATTGGGTCTGTAATCATACGAGTGATTTACAGAATCGTACGACCGCAAAGCGAGAGAATTTGACGACAGGAGGGCCTGTTACCAATTAATAAAAATTATGACAAAAATTGAGAAAGAAACTATACATCGGTTATACGTTTTCACAAAAACGAAAAACAACAGTTCACCCGGCGAAATGCGAGACTACAGCGCACACATGACGCGTTCTGTCCACTCACACAAGCATGACGCGTTAACTGTCCCTTTAACGGTCCTATTACACTTTTCAATCACAAGTATGACGCGTACACTGTCCTATTAGCGCTCAAATCGGCCGGCAGATGATAACTAATCAGTTTCAAGAATTCTGCAGTAGTTTTGATTCAAAACATAAGAAGGATATTTGTAGAGAAAGCAAGAATAGCCAAGACCAGAACGTGTTAGCTAGCTCTAGATTTTATAAATCTTTGTAGGATCCATAGCATCTTTCAATTCAAACTAAGAAAATGGAAAACACGTCATTATAAGGAAAAGCAAGAGATTTTTAACTTCATATTCTCTCGGGAAAGATTAAACATGGATGTACACGTGACATGAGAGAGCTCTGAAAAGCGCTAATCAAAAGTAAGAAATAGGTCACCATTTTTGACTTGGCCATGGAAAGAGGAGTTGGGAGAGGTGGCAGAGTCTTGGGGGGGGGAATGGAGAGAGGATCAGTTGTCGCTAACAGAGTTTAAAGGTGGGACTAAAGAAAATTGGCGGTCAATGAGGAAGATCGATAGAATCATTCGGAACGTTATGGAAGGATCAGGAAAACTTTATTGTGACAACCAAAATACCTTGACCCTTCATACCCTCCCACCTCCTCTAACGTTCCTATAATGTTAAGCACCTTACTCAACAGTACCTCTTCCATAATAAGTAGAACGTGGGTTACACATCAGGTTTTCCGGACTTGAATTTTTGGTTTGATTACTCAGTTGACATTCCTTCTTTATATCACTAGCATCGGATTTGCTGTTGTAAGATTGGCAGTTTTCATCTCGAAGGCAACTCAATCCACAACTTATTTCGTCAGCATATAATGTCTTGGTGATGTGACCAGTTAGCTCAAATCCTTGAAAAACAACACAATCGCGTTTCATGTTCTCATCACTCAGTTTCTTTTGGATACTTTCATAATACAGTTTGTGTGTAGTTAATTACCCTGTCTTAAGAGGTCATCTCGATTCTTGATATCGTACAAAGGTGAATATGAAGAAGCCCTGAGAGTTATGAGAGTTGCACGTAGAAAGTTCCTGTTGTTTTTACCCAATTTGGGGGCGATCTCATATTTTTTTCCAGGGCGAACTGCTGTGGCTAACAGAGTATAAAAGGGGGAAGAATGGAAATTTACTACTAATGAGGGGGATTGTAAGAATGTCACAGAGCCTTATTTGGGGGGGGAGGGATCAAAATCTGTGTCACTGTGTTGGGAGATATAACACATTCACGTATTACCTTCAACTCTCTCGAAAATCGCGTCCCTGCTGAAGTCAGTGTGCAAAGACGAACTGAAAGCCACAAGAAACAAAGCAACACCAGTCAACAGAACGGGACAGAAATGGTAACCAACTAGATGCCCTCTCATCCTGTAATTTGAGAAAGAAAGAAAAACAGATGATAAATGTTGCCCTTCTCCCTTCTTAGATGCAACAAATAGTTTTGATTGTGAATTTAGGATTTTGCTAATTACACTTTGTCTGACTCAGCGAAAGAATACGAGCGCTTTTTAAACTACCAAGTCATATAAAGGTATCTTCCCTGCTGAGGATTAATTCTTGTCCGCTGGCTTGCACAAGTTACTCACCCGATAGTAAGTAAATACATCGAGTTTCTCACTCACACTCACCTTCCTTTTCTTACTTTTCCTCGACTTTTCTTCTCACGTTTATGCGGTAGGAAAGGTCTCTTGCATATATACTCCTCACTCAAACGTATTTATCGAAGCGGCTGACCATTTAAGATTTATGTTGTTGTCAAAGTTAGAGAGCAATCTTCTTCTGAAGTTTAAATTAAGCAATTTTCTCCAAATTGAATGACTTGGTTACTCCTTGAAACCAGTATATTCTGACCTTCAGTTTCTTTCCACTCCTCTCGTATTTTTGCACTGAAAAACTCTTCCATCAACTTTCCATACAATTTTAATGAACCTTAGGTAACAATGAAAATTATAGAATTGAATAGGAACAGCTTGAGAACCCTTACATAAATTATGCATTGGTCAGTTTTGCACGAAGTACTGATCACGACTCGACTTTTCTTTCACGTTTATGCGGTAGTAAAGGTCTTTTGTATATATACTTCTCACTCAAACGTATTTATCCAAGTGGCTGACTATTCAAGATTTATGTTGTTGTCAAAATTAGAGAGCAATCTTCTTGAAACCAGTATATTCTTACCTTCAGATTCCTTCTACTCCTCTAGTATTTTTGTATCGAAAAACTTTTTTTATCAATTTTTCATAAAATTTTAATGAACATTGAGACAATGATTAAAAGAAATAAATAGAAACAGCCTAAGAACCCATACATAAATTATGCATTAGTGAACTTTGCACGAAGTACTGATCACGGCTTAGGGTTAGCGTTTCTTTACATTTGAGTAAAGCGTGAGGGCATTTAACTAGAAACAAACCTGATTACTCGGATTGTTTTATTATTTTGTTATCAAAGTTGGAAAGCAATCTTCTTTTAAGTTTAAATTAATCAATTTTTTCCAAATTGAATGACTTGGTTACTCCTTGAAACCGGTATATTCTGCCCTCAGTTTCTTTCCACTCCTCTCGTGTTTTTCTATTGAAAAAATCTTTTATCAGCTTTTCATACTATTTTAATGAAACTTGAGACAATAATTTTAAAAAAAATAAAAAGAGACAGCTTGAGAACCCCTTTCGTAAATCAAGCAATAGTCAGCTTTGAACGAAGTACTGATCACGACTAACATTTCTGATTAACATTTCTTTACATTCGAGTAAAGCGTGGGGGCGTTTAACATTAATAGAATCAACCTCGATCATTCGGATTTTTCTTTTTTTTCGAACCTCTTTTCTCTTGCACAAGGATTTCTATGAGTATCGATTGGTCGCATTTGGGATCGATGACAACTTTTTCCCACCAAACAAAGCGAAATTCGCCGAATAAAAAAGAGCTACAGGATGTAATTTCAACAGAGAGAGATGAAAAGTTACAGAATTCCCTCTCACCTTCTAACTCGTACATTTATGAGTCACAATTTGTAGATATATCTGCTGTACTATACATGTATTTCTGCGTTCCTATTTTTGACTCGTGCACGTTAAAATTGGCAACGGAAGCCAATATGCTAAGAAACATTTGTTTCTTCTGATGCACTAATTATTTTCTCATCCTTTGCCCTCTAGCTACCCTACTAATAGTGTTTACTTTCGCTTCCAGACAATTATAATGTAGACACCTGGCAAAGTTGGTAAAGTAAGTGACTAATGACCGACTCCAAGGGATACCGTGAGTTTTGTTGCCCTGGCGGGGCAAGGTAGAGGAATCCTCACTGTTTCCTGTGGTGCTCGTCACTTTAATTTTTATTTTTTTCAAGTGTTTCTCATACATCCCAACTCAAAAATGACTGCAAAAAATAATTTTTATAGGCAGGCTGGCACACACATTTGCTGCGGTTTCACGGTGAACTACCTTATCACTTGAGAGTCGAAAGTCAAGTCGTTGTTTCCCCGGGGGCCAAGTGAATTTTGTTTATCCTAGAAAGTAAGTGTATTTTGATTCACGACTCGCGACATGTTCAGCCCTCCAATCAAAAGACGTATTTAAGTTGGGCATTGCATCACCTGAGAGTCGAAAGTCAAGTCGTTGTTTCCCCGGGGGCTCAGTGAAGTTTGTTTATCCGAGAAAGTAAGTGTATTTTGATTCACGACTCGCAACATGTTCAGCCCTTCAATCAAAAGACGTATTTAAGTTGGGCATTGCATAAATGTCGCGTTCAGAGCTCTCTACTAGTCAAGAATTATATTATGCTTTTAGCACCCATAAGCTACTTTTCCTTCAAGTTTCAGTCGACCGAAATCCCGATATTAGCAACGCTATGTGCCCCTTGGAAGAAAACGTTTCCGTTGTGGCGGACCGGAGTAGGCTATGTAGGGGCTCTTTTCATACCGCGTGTATGTTTACAATTAGGAGGCTAAAATAGTCGTCATTCTATACGAGGGGGTTCTCCTATCATATCAAAGGTTTCTGTATCAGAACGTCCTCTGAACTCACACGAGCGAAAATCTCGCTAGGAGGTTGGGACTGGCCATTGCTTGTTTAAAGACCAGTGGCATCTATGTTCTCTCAGTGATGCAATGTCGATGCCTC